TAAGAGTATAACCATTTATCAAGAATATAATAAGTTTGAAATTTAAGAGCATTCATGCAAACTTCAATCTTATTAAACGTCTTATTCACGCATTAAATTTGTCCCCATTTGGCAAGAATAAGTAGATTCCAAGATCCAAAGAAACAAAGAGTGACTAAGCATGGTTTGGCTTGTCTTAGTACTCAATCTCCCAAGGTAAGCAACGCTTTGCTAATGGCTCTAAGCCACTCTTGGTTGAATAAATCGTTGCATCTAATGCTCTCTCTACAATTTATCCACTTTGCCACGACATGTTAGGACTCCATTACTCATATTGTTGTGTATAACCAAAACCAACTTGCATACCCGGTATGCCTTATGAGTCTAGGGAGTAGTAGTGATGCCTCGCTTTGGCATAGCCCATCACTACTCTCACTAGGTCAATAAGTGTTGTTTAGGAATGTCAATTTTACTCAATATTTAGGGACCTTGGGTATCTGTGTTGGTTTATTTAAGTGAACTTAATTAATCATCACAACATTTGAAATCCTAAACATGCATCTAATATATAATTCATATACAAATAATCATGAATATGTAAAGCATAAGCATTTTGATGCATATTGTCAACTAGCATGACCCCTTGAATTCTTCAAGTCTTCAAAAGGTCTTCTTTTGCAACTTCATGGCTTTGTCTTCCAAGAACCTCCATCTTTAAGACTTGACCAAAATTATGCAACACTAGTATCTACGATTAGGACTGGTGGCGAGAAGATGCTCAGGCTGCCGAAAAGAATTGCGAGGACAGGTGGCCGAAAGAAGGGAGTTGTAGGGAGAAGAAGGAAATTGCGAACTGGTGGCTGTTATTAGCCTCGTGGATACTAGTGGTCGTAAGGTGGCTATAATCAGGACTGGTTGCCAAAGCTTCAATGGAGTTCGACGGAGAAGTTCGAGGAGAGAGAGAGTGAGTGAGAAAGGGGAAATATTATTCAAGGAGAGAGATTGAGGGAAATAGGGGAAATGTTGTTAGGTTTAATTTTGATAGATTATTCGTAACGTTCAATTATTCTGTTGGCTACAAATAATTGGTCAACATTCAATTGACTTCTCTATTTGTAGCAGGCATAAGCTGGAAGTTACAAATAATTCATTATTAACGACCATTAAAAATCCCGTTACAAATAACATGGTTTTTGTAACGGGCATAAAAGTGCCCGTTACGAATACTTCTTTCCTTCTCAAGTAATCTATTTTTCATAACAGACAATGACTTTGCCCGTTACAAATGATGTTATTGTAACGTGGATTTATTTTCCCGTTACAAATAGGCCGTTACGGATGGACTTTTTTCCACCAGTGCTAGGAAAATCCGTCCATAGTTATAAAAGGCAAGCACATTAGAATAAAAAAAAAAAACAAAAAAAAAGAGAGAGAGAAATACACCAAAAAGAATAGAAAATTTGCAAAATGAAAAGTAAAATATAGAGAATACAGAGTTATTGAATGATGATGAAAGATGAATATGAAAGTTTAAAATGCTTGGCAATGTAATTTGAAATTGGTAGATGGTTGATTTTGGAAAGAGGCTTGATCACCCTTCGCTTCACGATTAGGCTAAGCACCGATTTCTAAATTTTACCACACCTTTAACCCCTAGCCAACGCTACAAACCTTTCAATGTTCTTTTGACCTTGGTTGGTTGAGTCTATTATCGGTGGAGGGAGTTAGATTTCAAGTATAGAGAGAAGCATGACTTGGTAAGATGTCAGGCTCCCCCTAATTTATTTTGTTTTATCTATTATTTCGGCTCCTTCAAGGAGTCATGAGATGCTACCTCCAAAGGCTGGAATTGAATCGAGATGAGGGAACGTGGTAAGAATGTATAGAATACGGAGGGAGTGGAGCATGTTAGAGTTCTATATGCTAAGCATGAGTTATCCTTCAATCAACCATTGACATCCCTTGCATGCTCACTTTTACTACTTAGGAAGCCACTACAAGAAATATGTCTTTTCGTAGCGATTATTTTGTAGCGATTGTACATTCGTTACAATATGCAAGTTTGTTTAAGAAATAATTAAGGAAATCGTATCATTTTACAATTGCCATGGTTTTCCCATATAAAATCGATATGGAAAACATAATAATACATATCCACATTATTTTTTCACATTTATAAAATTATGAGAAATCGTATCATTTACAACCGCCACTAAATCCTAAAAATCGATCTAAAAAGTCTTTTCTACACTAGATATATTAATATTGTTTGACAAATAATACATAAAATATGTCATAGTTTATAGGTGAAAACTTTAATATAAGATTTTGAGGTTGCATGTTCAAATCTTGTAAAGATCATATGTTTGATTTTTTTTTTTTAAAAAAAAATGAGTTCAACATTTATAGCAATTATAATCGCTACAATAATCACCACAATTGGATGTAGTTCGTATCGATTATTAAAGCCAATCCCAGCGATATTGAAAACAACTACTAAAGGCTAAGGCAACAGGGGATATTGTATCGAATTACCATTCGTTGGGAAAGATTTTTGTTGCAATTATAATCAATACTAAAGGTTAAAATAATCGCTAGGAAAAGGTTATTTTCTTGTACTCAGCTTGCCATCAACTTATGCTTAATGTCTATAAAAGATTAATTTGATTAATATTTTCATGTGCTCATTGATACATATTCTTGTTTTCTTTTGGTTTGTCTCTGATAGTTTTAGCTCTTCTAGATTTCTTTGCTTGAGGACAAGCAAGAGGCTAGAATGGGGGATTTTGATGACTGGCATTTATGCCACTCTTTTATCCTTTTTCTCCAAGGATTTCCCCTCATTTGCAATGGTTTTAGCCTTTTCAAGTGTTATATCTTTGTTTTTGTGATGTTTGATCTTTCTCGTGTTTTTCGTCTTTTTCTCCCTTTTATTGCGTTTTATTAGTTTGCTTTGGTGTCTTAAAGGTTCTTGCCCTCTTTCGTGAAGTCTTTGGTTGCATATAGAACTAAGGAAGGCAAAGAGATGCTCAAGGAGAGGGCGCGCAGCCCAGCATGAGCCGCGGGCGCGGGGCGCTGCTTTGTAGTTCCCTCAAATGTTCCAGTAGAAGCCTAGTCACACCCTATGAGCGGCCTCTCCTCAGCAGCCGCGGGCACAACAACAAGACCCCGCGGGGGGCGGCATTTTGAGGCTAACTTTCCCCTGTTCCCGGGCCGCAACCTCTTCTAAGCAAGAGAGGCATCTGTTCCTAACACCCGCGGGCGCGACACCGAAGGCCGCGGGAGAGGCTTGCTGGGTTTAGCACTTCCGTACCCAGATATGAGAGGGCGTAGCATGTGATGAGAGGGTCCTTTAAACGTTATTTCTGGATTTGTGATGCACTATAAATAGTTTTCATCTTGAATTTTGTATTTTCTTTTTATTTCCAATAATTCTTAGAACTTAGTAGAGGGAGAAACATCCTTATTTTTGGCATTCTAGAGAGAGAAAGTGTGGATTCCTCCATTGTTGATCTTGGATTTTGAAGAAGAAGCTTAATCAACCTCTTTGTAGGATTTCAAATTCAGTGAATGAGAATTTCCTTACTCTCTTCTCTTTATTTTGTTATTTGATTATGTTTTAGATTATTTTTCTTGTTAATACTCATTAATCATGCCTTTGCTTGTTAATTTCATGATTAGCTTGTTAGTTGCTATGTATAGTGAGTAGTTCCTTAACTAAGGCTGTGAGGGTGATGTAGTTGGAATTTGTTCATGCTTTTGGTTTGTAACTAACTTTAATTGTGATTAATGTCTTTACTTGCTTGATGTTCTTCGATCTTCATACAAAGCGCACGTTGTTGGTTGATTGAGGGTGAATTTATGATAAATGATGTGACAGTTGACTTAGCTAAGTTCATTTGTATCGATTGTTATTTGAATGCACCTCCTAGAATATGATTCTAATGTAACAACATAGACGCTATGTTAGGAGAAGCTAATTGACCCCAAATTGTAGCTAGATTAGACCCTTCATATCAATATTCAAGCATGTTTAGTTCATGATTAATCCATTTCCATGTCATTGCATGTCCAAGTTAAGCGTTTATCTACCCATTCCCCTTAGTGTTCCCATTATATTTTTTCTAGTTCATTCACTTTTAGCTTTAATCTCTTACAGAACTTCATTTACCTTCTCGAGATAGCTTACTAGTGATTGCAGTGCTTAGCTTCTCCCTGCGGTTCAACCCTTTTCTTACCTTATACTTTTGTTTGGTTTGTTTAGATTATACAAATATTGTTTGATTTAGGGTTAGGAATTAGACGACGTGTATATTCTTTTATAACATAGAGTGGAGGCCGAGTAGAAACTCACTGAGAGCATGTCAAAACAAACTTGCTCGGATACTCCTAATCGAACGATGATTACTATACATCAGCCGAGTATAATGTTAAGAAAGGGCTTCCCTAGCTAAGCTACTTGACACTATACATCGGGAGAGTAAAATTTTAAGCTAGGGAATCCCTAGCTTAGCTACTCGGCCATTAACTTTTCATCGGCCGAGTAGGACGAGCAAAGGCTTCCCTAGCTAAACTACTCGGCCATAAAGTCCAAGTGGACGATCAAACATCTAGTCCTACACCCAATGGTCCGTATGTGCTAAGAAAGTCCCTAAAAGATGCCGAATACAAAGTGTAGTAAGGACCTACTTTGTTAAACCACTTGGCCACTTAGCCTAAAAGGCAAATCTTATCATTCAGCCCCACCAGGCCGAAACAAAGAAAGCACAAAGTTCTAAATTTGACTAAGGTATGTATTACCCATTTAGGAAAAAGACTTTCCTAGGCGTACGCTCCTAGTAAACGGAAATTTACAAGTTGAGAGAATACTTTATATTTCTTGGGTATTTCTGAGCGATAACTTCAACAAACGACTCATACAAAGCCAATAAAAAGGTTGCATAATTAATGTTGATTTGGCGTTAGCCTAGTCCAAGGGAAATCATTATTATGATTTGATTAGCTTACTTATTGTCATACCTTTCAAGGTATAAAATCTACTAAGTTAATCAAACTATTCAGAATGTAGACTTGGCAAACGCCGAATAAAAGGGCATACCCCATTATTCTTACGAAAAAGAAATACAAAGCATAAATAAGATGCGTAAATTGCTAAGTATGAAAATACATAAAAATCCATAAAACCAATCAGATGGCGAAAAAGTTAACATAAATTAAAACCGCTTAGAAGGCGGCAAAATATCATTACCAAACCACTTAAAGCAGGCGCAATAAAAAAAATTTGTTCGGCAGAAATTAAAAAAAAAAAAGAAGACATAAGCTTAAAGTTGTAGAAGAGGTAGGCTCCTCACTTGGCAGCCTCCTTGCCACCATCACCAACATTAGCCGCATTGTTAGTCTGGGGTGGCTCCTCATCCTTGGTCGCCTCCTCTTCCTCGTCCTCTCCATCTTCAACATTGCTCTTGACGGGGGAAGGGGTCTCGACAAAGGGAGAGACATGCTTCCCAACGGCCTCACACTCGTCTCACATGGTTTTGAAGTCTAGTCTTCTGGTGAAGCGCTCTAGATAGTAGCTGAGCTAAATTCTTTCAACCATCATCCCAAAGAGTTCATCAAATCAATTTTTGAGGAGAGTAAGGGTGGCTTGCTCGATCTGGACAACGTCTGCTAGAGGGATTGGCCTTGGAGCATTAATTTGTTGTTTTAGCTCCTACACTTCTTTCCAAAGACCACTACAACAAAAAAGGCGTTAGAGAACTTTTATAATAGGCTTTATAGATCGCCTTAGAGGCGTTCTTCTACTAAGCGATGTATAAAGTATAGAGAACGGGCCAGTGAGGCGTTTTATATACTACTAAATAGAGAACGTTTATTAGTCACAACCGTTCTCTCTTCCCTTCTTAAAAACGTAAATTAAGGAAGGAAAATAGAACGGTTAGGCTACTTAACCGTTCTATATTGCATTACATTATAGAACGGTAAAGTTAGATAACAGTTTTCTAATGTTTTTTTTTAAATAAAAAAAAAATCCAGCCATATATTACATTTTATTGCTACTGTATTATTCCTTTATTTTGCTGTATACTTGTATCATTTCTCGTATTCCTGTATTTTTTTGATAAAGATTATTCCTGTATTTTATCTCTTACATATATCCTGTAAGAAAAATACCACAGTTCCAGTATAAAATAAATTATGATCCTGTATGTACAATATAAATTTCAATATAATAATATTAACCAAATATATTTCCAGATACTACAAAACCATCAAAATATACTTCATATATATAATTTAAAATATCCAACCACAATTAAACTAAATTATTCACCCGAAATTTATGCTATACAACAAATACGAGAGTTAAGTATCAAAACACCATTCTAATTAATAGTTATTAAAAAAAAAAAAAAAAAATTGCTTAGATATACCAATACCATATTGATCTACAATTCACATTTCCAGTAACATACGAAATCCACCTTTCCATAAGCTCGTCGATCATTTGTTGAGAATGTGTAGGAGGAACTTGCTTGAAATACTGATAAACAATGTAAAATACATTCCTATTTGTTAGTGTACAATAATTTCATCTTATTAAATAAAACTAAGTATATCAAAATATAACATTTTAAACCGTAGTTTTCAATTTGAGTACACAAGAAACCTCCATCATAAAATACATCCCATCTGAACAAAATATATAAATAGTCTAACAGCATAATAAGCATAATTTAGTTGCCTCAATATCCACCAAAGCTAATGGTATATAAACTTAAAATTTCCAGCCCTTGTGATATGTTTTATCCATCTAAATCTTAACCACTACAACTATTTATGATTCCCTTCTCTTCTCTCTTCACAATCAGAAACACAAATTCCCGAAAAATACTACACACTCCTTACTCATCATTGTAAGCATAGTAATAACCATGACTACTCTTATAGATTACTAGAAACTTAGTTATCACAAGATCTCATAAACAACCCTTTTATGAAAGAAAAGCAAAGTGAATCAATATTTCTAAATATTTTGCAAAGTATTTGAAATTAATAGAGCACAATAATCTAGTCGTAATCAATTTCCCCTACCCCTTTTTCTTTATCTGATTAGGGTTCTAAATTTGACTTAGGTATGATTAATTTGGCTAAAATAATTTTGATTACTACTAAAATAAATATAAATTTGACAAAATTAAGGGTAATTTGATTAAATTACTGCATCATGACTGAAATATTTGCATAAAATAATCGACTGAATTTATCCCTAAAACTAGAACTTTGAAGTTTTTTTCAATTACCTAAAATTCGAATTGTAATTTACTTTAATAGATGTTATCTACAAATTTACTTATATTTCCATCATAATTCGAATGATTCATGCAATAAGATTGACAAATTATCAAAATCCAATTTCTCTATGACAAGAAAAATTCGAACCTTTGTTTAAAAAAAAAAAAAAATTCGAGCCTACCTCAATGCCTCAGCGAACAGGTGCGGTGGTGCAGACGTTGTGCGGAGGTGGAGCAATGGTGCGGCGGTGGAGCAGCGGTGCGGCGGTGGAACAAAACAGTAAGCGGCTGGCGGTTTTTTTTAATAATGATGGTCGACGGTGGAGGTTCCACTTTTTTAAGTACTTTGTTTTTTTTTCAAGGTATTCGAGTGAAAGTGATGAACGCATGCTTCAATTTAGGTACAATGGTACATTATTACTCAGTATATAATTTCTTTTTTTTTTAAGGGGTACTCCGTATATAATTTCCTCCTAATTTAAAGAAAAAAAATACTTGTAATTAATACTATTGTACATTACAAAACGGTTGTCAAGATGACCACTCTATATCATTTATAATAATTAATTATTATTTTTTAATTAATTGAGTAAAAACAAATAGAGAACGGTTAACTATGATAACCGTTCCATATGTATTAACATATAGAACGTCTCTTATATAAATATGTTCTATATTCTCCTGGAGAACGCCTATCTTTGGTAACCGTTCTATATCTTGCGATCTCTAATCTAGTTTTTGGTGTAGTGGACGCTCGGTCTCCTGATTCCAATCATCTGCTACCTTTAAGGCTATTTTCAAGGCCTCCCTGCTGATCTCTAGCTCTGCCTTGTGCCTTTTCATCCGCCTCCTTCCAACTGGCTTCCTAAGTGACAACCTCGTCCCTCTCTTTGGTGAGAGCCTTGTTGGCGAGCCGCTCCTACTTAAGAGCATCGTCAATTTTGACAATGTCTTTAGTCTGTTTGGCTTCTTTCTTAGCCAAGGCGTTCATCGCAGTCTGGTGGCGGACTTGTTTAATAGTCAGCAGGCCAGTGTTCTCGTCCCAAGCCGACTGAATCTCACACCTCTGCTACGGACGCTAGTCCTATACGGCAAAGAGCCTAAGAAGAAGCAGTGGACGAATAAACAAAGATAAGTAAAAAAAGAGAAGATAAAGGAAATTGGCCAAGTTTTAAAGAAGTAGATGAGTTCGGGTACCTCAACATAGGTGTTGATCATTGGACCGAGGTGCCCATCGTGGATACCCCAGTATTTTTTCTGAGTCTCTGCCTGGACGACCTGTTGAATAACGTCTCGGACAGCCTTACGCTCGTCCCTAGTTAAAGAAGACCCAGGGAGTTTAACGTCTATCTCCTCAGAATTGTCTATAAAGTCAATACTACAAAACTTGGAAAACATACCGCTTATTAAAGACCCGTTATTTAAGGAACGGGTCTGTTTGATGAAAGAGATCCAATATTTAATATAACAGATCTCTTATGTATCTTAGGGCCCATCACTTAAGAATATATGAGTTATAAAAGACCTAAATATGCACTCAACGGGTCTCTTAGGTGTAGTAGGGCCCACACACTTGATTGAAGAACAAAAGATGAAAGGATATGAAACCCGTTATCAAATTTTTTTTCACGGGTCTCTTCCTTCGTCCTTTAACACATGCTCTGCTCTTATTTTCCATTTCTTATTATTGTTATTTTTTTTTTTTTTGAAAAAAAACCCCGACGGGGGTTCTTATTACTCTTATTGTTTTATTTATTAATTCTATGTTCTCATTTAAACTCACATGTTCCTCATCTATATATTTGGCATTCTCTCTCCTCAAAAACCAAACCTGAACCCCCAAATTAAAATCCTCATCTTCTCGCTCATCCGTATCCGCCGACTATCTTCCATTTACGTTCTCTATTCAAGCTATAAAAATTTTCACTCATTGTTGAAGCGACACCTACCATCTCCATAAGAAAATCATGCTCTAAGGTATATAGTTTTCTCTCTCATTCGTGATTTTTACTCCGTCTCTTAGATCGTATATTGGGATTCAACAATGATGTCTATGTTCTTTTTTGTTTGAAAAATTGCAGAATTCAAACCTTAAATCGTGCATGGTCAGCTTGTTTGCCGTTTTTAATTGGCCTTGATGTCGGTTAGGATGGAGGTTTCTGGGTTTTTTGTTTTTGTGATTTGTTCAAACAAATGAAGGTATTTTGGTAATTAGGGTAGATAACTATTTATGTTTTTTTAGATCTATCAGTTTGGGTTTGGATTTGAGTTTTCTTGATCTTTATTTTGGGGATTTCACATTCATAAACTTGGACTTTTTGAATTCTCTTTAATTAATGATTAATTTCTATTTTAGTTTATTCTAAATTTCTATGTCCAATTTTTCCTATGGATGGTATTTTGATTATTAGTTTGGGTTGTTCTTGATTATAGTAGTATATGAAATAGATGGAGATAGTGGACGAAAATTTTCAACTATGGGAAGGAAGACATAATTATGCGTGGTCTTTGATTAGGGGATTTTTCCCCACCAATCATCATCTGACAAATGGACCAATCAGGTTCCGCCATGTGTCCGTCACATGGGCCAATAGGAGCCTGCCACGTGTCAAGCAATGATCCGTCCACTATGGACCAATTACGACACGACACGTGTCCTTCCCATGACACCTGGGATAACCGGTCACCTAGGCCCAACTTCCGTGGGAAGCCCAATCAGCCCAAGGTTAACCTAAACCTAGATTGACACGTTTCCCGAGGTTATAAATACCTCCCTTAATCCTCATTAAGGGAGATTACGCAGATTACACACATTAAACTCTCTCACCTAGAGAGACCCAATCACTTTAATTTCCGCATTAATTACTCCTTAATCAAGTACTAACTTGACCGTCGGAGGCGGATCTCCAATCATCCGGAGCATCCGTTTGTTTTGCAGGTACAGGCATCTGGTTCCAGTCTCGGAATTGTAACTCTCCCGCAGGACATCAGAAAACCCCGAAACATCTTGGCGCCGTCTGTGGGGAGAGTACTTCTGAGATGGCATCCACGTTTGTACCGACTCCTGAAGAGAGACGTCCCCTGGACGACCCTCTAGTTCAGTCGGACCACGATACTGAGAATGAATTTGAAGTTGAAGCTCACACAGCTTCAGACGGGACCCTAAGGGCCCGACGTACCCGTCATACCGAAAGGAGGGAACGGGAACATCTTCAAACTGGAAGCGAGCCAGCAGGCGCACCGCCTGTTCGGCAGCAACCGACCGATGGGTCTGCTCCCATCACAAGGAACGAACTCATGACCTTCATTAGGGACTTCAAGGGAGAAATTCAAGAGTTGATCAACAAGAAGCCGCCTGCTCTGGACAAGGAGCAGTCGGCTAAGAAACCCTCCACTTCACGGAAGAGGAAGCCAGTTCAAGGGCGAGAGGCGACCCCTCATCCTAAATCTAGGAAGTGGGAGCCACCTGCCCTTGATTTCACAAAATACCGTTTTCCTACTTCAGGAAATAGGAAACCTGTTCGTCATATTCAGGCGGACGGGTCGAGGAAAACATACACAGACGCTCGGCTAATGCTAGAGCAGAAGAAGAGTGACCGATTGTCAGAGTCGGCCTCTACTTCAAACTTCCAAGACACTCTGCGAAATACCTCGATGAGGCATACTCAGTCGTATCATGAGAGTCAGTCAGGCGGCACCTCCCGTCAGTCCGGCTTTCATAGCGACCAGGCGATACCAAACTTACCGTTTGTACCGCAACAACAATATTTTTTACAGCCACCTCCGTTTGGTGGACATGCAGCAAAAAATGTCCAACCTATGGACTGGCAGCTACGGTTGCTTAGACTTGGTAAACATCCGTCGGCTTTCTCCAAGGAAATTACTGAAGCCGCTCAGCCGGTCAAAGTGAAAATTGTATTAGTAGGCGCCTATGACGGCACTACTAACCCAGAAGACCATCTGATGGCATTCACCAACCTGATGTACCTTCAAGGGTTGGATGATCCCACTTGGTGCAAGTGTTTCCCAGCGACTCTTAAAGGAATCGCACAACAATGGTTCGGCAACCTGCCGACTGGTTGTGTAAATAATTTCAAGACGCTTGCTTACTTATTCACCTCCAACTTCGCCATGAACATCCCTGCGAAGAAGACGACCCTTGATTTAGGAACAATTCAGCAGGGCGAGAAGGAGGGGCTTTGTTCTTACATCAGGCGGTTTAACCTGATGAGAATACAGATTCAAGGGTTACCGGATGAAGTAGCCTATACTGACTTTTTCAGAGGTCTCAAAGACGGGTCGACCTTCAAATTTGATTTGGTCCGAAAGAGGGTGGCGACTCTTCAAGAGGCCTTGATTGAAGCGGAAGCTTATATACAGGCGACTGATCTTTGTAGTACGGTAAAACAGTCAGACGGGAGAAGGTCCGACAAAAGAGAAGGAAGACAGAAACAGTCGTCAAACAAAGACGAGAAGAGAAAAGAGGTCTGGGCGGCTGATTCCTCTAAACAGCCGGCCCAGAAAAAGAAAAAAGAATTCAAACCATACTCCCCAAAGTATGCGTTTAACAAGGATATCCAATTTATCCTAAAGGAAATCAAGGGACGGATCTCAATTGAGAAGCCGGTCCCCATGAAGGGTTCTGCAAACAACCGGAACCAAGAAAAATTCTGTGATTATCATGAAGATGTTGGTCATCACACCAATGAATGCATCAGTCTCATGCGGTATCTGGACCGCCTGGCTGAGCAAGGTGATCTTGACACTTATGTCAAGAAATCTATGGGGAACACTTCCTCGAAAAAGCAGTCGGCCAAAAAGAATCAACAGGCCGACAGTTCCGATACAGATGATGCAGTCGTCTACACAATTGCAGGCGGCTTCTCAGGAGGCGGCCCCACTATTAGGGGAAACAAAGACAATATTAGACGGTTAGATGTAAATTCCGTTCACCAAGAACGGCCCTCCAAATATTCATTTCCTGAGATTGTTATCACTGAAGAAGATCTAGGAGGGGTAAGAGTGCCGCATAACGACCCTATCGTTATTGAATGTAAAGTGGCCAACCAGAGAGTTGGCCGAATCCTCATAGATACCGGAAGCTCAGATCTCATCAGTAGCAAATGTCTGTCGAAACTAAAATATCAGACTGATTGCATACATCAGGCATCCCACCCTTTAGTAGGGTTTGGAGGAGGAGTCGTCCACCCAGTGGGACGAGTCGATTTACCCATCCGCCTGGGCGAAAAAGGGGAAGGACGACACATGGTAGTCCGGTTCTTGGTAGTAGAAGAACTCTCGGCCTACAACATGATTCTGGGACGACCAACCCTGAATAATTCCAAGGCTGTTATAATCCCATCTCTTATGTTGCTAGAGTTTGAGAGGGATAATGGAACAGTCGGGTGACAAGCGCACTTTAGGGCGCGCTTTAGAGCATATTTTAGGATGATTTTGGATGTATTTGGGGCCGCTTTGGCCGATTATTACCTTGTTATGCATACGTTCCCCATATTACGTGCTTCACGGGTTTTCGGTTTGTTTTTGATGTGTTTTCAGGTAATATCAACCGAGTTT